GTACTCAATGAAAATTGACCAATAGCCCAATGCCACCCCTACACACCTTTACTTTCTGGTTAAGCTCCAAACATTGCTCTGTTTCTTTTAGCAGACTTTTCTAAAATTCCCTTTGGAGATTAGTCCATAGGAAAACTCTTTTTTTTAAAAAAAAAAGAAGTTTGTGTCAGTAACCTTTACTATCTTTGCTAAATTCCCTTAAAGACATCAGTTTATTATAATCATGAGGTCTGTATTTAGAATACACACGTGAGTGCTAGGGTTACTTTAGGAAGTATTCTTGGAAAATAGTAAAAGTACTTGCCTCTATATTCAGTATCACCTTTGGAACCCCATGGACTTCACTGATTAGGGACACTGTGCTGCATTCTGGACATGCGGTCCCCTGGTGTCACTGTGTAGTTCCCTTGCTGACAATCCACAGGCAGGGGCTACAGATGCTTTTGAACGAGATGGCTAACTTCCATAGGAGATATTTAGTATTGTACCTGGGGTTGTTACCACTAGCATAATTAGGGGCAAAAGGTAACGTGACATACTGGACTAAGAGTCAGCTAGCCTGGTGTTCAAGTTCCCTTTTTGATACTAATTAGGAGGCCAGGAGTCACCTAACTACTTTGAATCTGTTTTCTTATCTGTAAAATGGGTACTCATAGTATCTATTTCAAAGGCTGTTTTACTTCAAAGGACAATACATGTAAAGCCTCAGGCAACTCTCTAAGGTCATAAATGACAGAAAGGTTGCAATGTGTTGGTGGAAGGAATTTCTACACAGAGTTGCATATTTAAGTATGTGGCAAAAGAAACCCACAATAGGGGAGGGAGGAAAGGCTGAGGAAGTTCAGCATTTTTTTTAATGGCACATATACAATATTTACTTTGGAAAATATAACAGTCTTTAAAAAGACAAAACATTTTATTGAGTTAAACTTACCCACTGGCAGCCTCAAGCCTTAGAACTTTCATCTTAAAGCATTTTGTAGGTAACACTCAATAAAAGCTTCCTATACGCAAGGGACAGCAATGCAATAGTTCCTGCCCAAAGGAGCCTACATTCTCCTGGGTGGACATGATTCAACATTCATGGAGGTAAGTAATATGTGCAAAGTAATTTCATGACATGAAAGTTTCTTAGAGGATGCAGCTATACTGAAGCATCCAGAGGTACAGTAGATAAAACACTAGGTCTGAAGTCTAAAAGACCCAAGTTCAATCTGGCCTCAGATACCTCCAAGCTGTGTGGCCCTAGGCAAATCATTTAACCTCTTATATGCATCTGTTTCCTCAACTGGGCATAATAACAACACCGAAGTTTCCAGGTTGTAGAGAATCAAATGAGATAATCTTTACAAGGAGATTAGTATAGTGCTTGGCACATAGTATGCACTTAATAAAATGCTTTTACTCTAGGTCGCCTAGGAGGTGGTACCTGAGCTGTGCTTTGAAGAAAACTAGGGGTCCTATGAGGCAGAGATATAGAAGGAATTCTTTCCAAACCTGAAGTAAGTAAAGTCTGTAAGTCTGTTAGTAGGAATCTGGGAAATGGCAGAGTAGGTTAACAGATAGAGATGTTAAATCACCAGCCCACTTCAAATTACTAATTACTTTCTACAAATTACTTTCTAAAAGGAGTGGGGAAAAAAAAAGATAAATCAAGGAGTTACATTTGTTCAAGGACTTACAGATTCTTCTTTAGAATCTGGAAATTTGAGATCAGTTAGTTAAGCAAAATGACATGCTTACACATCAGATTACAAGTCACCAATTGCACCAAGAAGCTGGAAAATTGTCGAGTAAGTTATGAGAATGTTAACCTGACAGCTCTTTCATCATTCCTCCAAACCTGGTAGACGGAACACAGTACAGTGTAGACCAGAAACTCTTAGGAGGTATGAGAAAGGGGCACAATTGATAGGACAAATGTTTAGTGAACACCTACTATGTGCAAGGCCTTGGTGTAGTGAATCAATAGCTAGACTCTGTGTTAGGAAGATCAGATGACTTGGGTTCAAGTACCACTAGACACTTTGTTGGTCTGACCCTCGGCAAGTCAATTAACCTCTTGGTCTTTCCAGGTACCGCCCTAAAGACTAGATCCAAGGGTGGGGAACCTGTAGCCTCAAAGCTACATGTGGCCCTCTAGGTCCTTAAGTGTAGACCTTTCAGTGAAGGGTCTCATTTGAGGACCTAGAGGGCCCCACGTGGCCTTGACGTCACAGGTTCCTTACTCCTGAACTATGTACAAATAAGTTATTACAGGGTGAATTAGGGTTAAACTCTGAGGGAAGACACTAGGATTAAGGAAGACTAAGGAAGGATTCTTCCAGAAAGTAGGACTTTAGCTGAGACTTGAGGGAAGGCCAGGAAGATTAGGAAGCAGAGATGAGGAGGGGGCGCATTCCACACATGGGAGGGAGCTGTGAAATCCCTCAGTCAAGAAATGGGGTATCTTGAGTGGGGAGAAGCAGGGAAGCCAGGGCTATTGGAAAGCAGAGTACACAGAGGGGAATGAGGCAGAATAAGATTAGAATGGTGGGAAGGTGCCAGGTTATAGAGGACTTTGAAAGCTAAAGAGAGGATTTTATATTTGATTCTGGAGATTATAGGAAGCTGTTAAAGTTTAACGGAATGGGATGGGGAGAGGAAGCGATATGATCAGAGCTGTGCTTTAGGAAGATCAATCTGATAGTTGAGTAGAGGACGGAATGGAGAGGAGAGAGACTTGAGGCACAGAAACCAATTAGCAGGCTAAAGCAATGGTATAGGCAAAAGGTGAAGAGGGACTGCACCAGGGAAGTGTCAGAAGAGGGAAGGGATGAAACAACAGGAACTTGACCACTGATTGGATAAGGAAGGTGAGAGTGAGGAGTCAAGTTTGATACCCAGGTTGTAAGCTTCGGTGATGGGAGAATGGTGGAGGGGGAACTCAACAGTAATATAAAAGTTAGGAAAGTGAAAGAGTTTATGGGGCAAAGATAATGAATTCAGTTTTTGGACACACTGAGTTTAAGATGATAGGACATCCAGCCTGATATGTCTAAATGGCAGCTGGAGATGCAAGACTGGAGGCCGGAAGAGAGTTTAAGATTGGAAAAGCAGATACGAGTCATCTGTCCAAAGATGTAATTGAAACAATGGGAGCTAATGAGATCACCTAGTGACTTAGGATGGAAGGAGAAGACAGGAGGGCCTAGGACCTTGGGGGATGCCTTAGGTTAGCAGGAGTGACATGGAATGAGTTCTGCTCAGTTTCCTTTTCGGGATCCTTACCTTCCGCTTCATAACTCCTTGCATGGATGTTCCCCAAGGTGGTGTCTTAGACTCTTTTTCCCTCTCTCCTCTCTGTCTGTCTGTCTCTCTCTATCCGTCTCTCTCTGTCTGTCTGCCTCTGTCTGTTAGCCTCTGTCTGTTTGCCTCTGTCTGTCTGTCTGCCTCTGTCTGTCTGTCTGCCTCTCCCTGTCTCTGTCTGCCTGTCTCTCCCTGTCTCTGCCTGCCTGTCTCTCCCTGTCTCTCCTCTCCCAATGTTATAGCTTCAGCTATCGTGTCTGTGCAAGTGGTTCTCTTGTCTATCTCTTTAGCTTCCAGACCTATATTATTGCCTAACGTATTCAAACCCAGCATGTTCAAAAGAGAGTTTCTTTTGTCTTCCAAATCTGCTTCTCCTTATGGCACCACGATTTTCTCAATCATACTACCATTTCCCCTACTTGAAAGGCTGGTGTTTCTTTAACCTTTCATAACCAGTGACCAGTCTCCCTTATGCATAAACTTAGTCATGTCACTCCTCAATTTAAAACTCTTCGGTGGCTACCTATCGCTCCCTCCTTGACTGGCACTCAAGGCAGTCCTTGAAGCAGCCCACCTTGCCTTTTACACACACACTACACTCTGGCCAGACTTTTCTCACTGGTTGCTGAAATGGTTGTATAGTGAAGGCCAAACCTCAGTAAAACTCTAGTTTTGTCATAAGAAACTGTAACTATAATCTTATCAATAATTCATTTTATTATAACTTCCCTTTTACCATAAACTCCTTATGGAAATAGCAGAAGTGGACGGCTGATGGGTGGAGAACAGCCACATCCAATCTTTAACATACCTTCTGCCAGTTCAGAAAAAGAAAGTAAAAGCAGAAATATAGTCATTTATAATTGGTAAGGCAGGGATGGGAAGTGATCTTATGAGTCACTCCCTTCAAACCGTCATGAAATGCAGCAGTTCACAGTCAATACTGTTCCTTTAAATCAAACTCCTAACCCTTTCCCTACCAAAGATGTGTAAGTACCCGTCATATAGATTAAGATGCCAAAATTATCAGCCATGTTGCCAAAATTTCAAGTTTTCCTTAAAGTGGTGTCTCTGGACTTCTGAGGGTCATATTACCAAAGAGACGCCATCGAGCTCCTTGGCAAGCACTTTAGGGGGCAGACAGGTCCGGCAAATTGAAGTGTTTAGAGTTGTGGGAAGGTTTCACTTGTCACTTTATAGGCAAGCCAACCAAGAGAAACAACCCCAGAATACTTTGCATAAGCGAAGAAGACCTGGCTAAATAGGGAGCAGGCAGGGCAGAATAAGTAGTAAGATTCAACCAAGTAAGGGAAAAATATATACTAGAGATGATATAACAATAAGCAAGAGAAACCAAGGGCTTCTGCCTCCTTCCTTCACTTCTGTGCCCGCCCCACCCTGAAACCGCACCTGGGTTCCTCTCCCGCACCCACCTGTGCCCTACTTCTTTACCCACAAGAGCAAACGTTTTTAATCAACATACAGGCTTCCTCCTTCCTCAAACTCCCCTGGGGGACAAGGTTCTCAAAAAAAAAAAAAAAAAGCTATACACCCTACCCCATCCAGCCCAAAGCCACAGAGCTATCGAACAAGCTGAGAAACACTGCAGCTCCCTAGCATCCCCATCCACCCCTAGCAGAAGCAGCATCTAGTAGCAGCAACATTCCCCAGTTCTGGCGCGGTGAAGGTCCGAGACAGATGTTCAGGGTTACCTGTGAAGTCAGGGGACACCCATTCCACTAAGAACCAGACGACCAGGAGAAATAGCAAACAGACGTGAGGGTGGCCCCTAGTTGGGGTCACCAGGCGCGTTCCCATCCTCACTTGCTGGAGCAACTCGCCCAGCAAGACACTCAGGGAAGCTACAACACCCACACCCACACCTCTAGTATACCCCCTCCCCCCAGTTCTTTTAGCATTTCCCTCTGTGCTTTGGCTCCACCCCAGCCCTGCAACCTTTGGCCAATCAGTCTCCTCCTCTACCGGGAGTTGAGAAGGGGAGAGATACCGGGGATAGTGAAAGTTTGTTACGAGTCAAGGAGGCCCATCAGGGCTTGAAGGGAGGCGGAGAAAGCCCTCACCTGGAGTGATGAGCGATGCTGGCCAAAGCGCAGGTTTCAGCAGGTTGTCTTTTAATTTTCCTGGGCTTTTCTTTTTTCTTACTCTTTCAAAGCACGAGCACACACATAAGCATGCCCAGCCTTTTATGTTTGCTGGTTTGGAAACAGTAGGTTTGCAATAAGTAAATACAAAGTAATGATACATGGACGTGGGGTGGGATGGGGTCTCTCCAGCAGCTTGACTCGCCTCTCGTAGGTGCCCCTTGAACCGCCGCCCCTCAAACTTCAGTCTATCCTTTCCACGATAGTTAGGTGGGAAAGTAACCCAACTCCTAATCGGAGGGGAATGCCAAGGCAAGAATGACTCACCCACTATCACGCTGCCGCGGCCAAGCAAAGCAAGTGAACCTGATCGACCCACGCTCTGGAACCACGCTCCTATTACTTTAAATCGCTTCTGAGAAGCTGACTGTGGCCTAAAGAAGTTAGGTGATAGTGTGGAATGCGGCGTCGTGGAGTTAGTGGTAAAGGAATTTAGAGTAGAGTTTATTTAATGGCGCTAGGGAGACCTTAAGGCATAAAATCATTGTGTCCATTCTTCATGATTGCAAGGAACATTTTCTTCTCCGAGAATGTCCAGCCAGAGAAGAAGCATAGAACTGATTTCTGATACTCTGCCTCTAAGGGCAGAACCATCACTATAAGTGGGGACGGTCATGAACAAAAGACACAAGCAAAGTTGTATGAGAATTTCATTCCATAAAACTTTAGCGCCTGATGACAGTTCAAGGTTGTATTTTGGTGGTGTGGAAGGTAGAAAGACGCAAACAAAACCTCCCTGTCCCCTGGGAGTTGATGGTCTAGTAAGGGAGACAAGGCATTTTCTGTCTCTTCAATTCAGTTAAATTTAACAAGTTATTTATTACAGACCCATGCGCAAAGAACCCCAATATATAGATATTGATAGACATAGATGTGTGTGTTATGATATATATACATATATATATAGACAAATAGACACATATATTACACACATATTATACACACACAAAAATGAAGGGGAGGCTTTTTCTTGATTTTCATGTACATACTGATCTATGCAAATGTTATATCCCCTAGCAGAAATACACTCCTCTAAACAAGAATGGTTTAATTTTTGTCTTTATATCCTCAGCTTCTAAAATAGATACTTAACAAGAATATGTTGAATTGGATGAAAACACATACACACACAGTCCCAGTCTTCAGGGAATTTACAATGTAATAGGATAAGAAATGTATTCTTATAATGCACTTTAGAATATAAGGACATAGGAGATAGCAAACAGAGATGAGAGATTTGGGGAGAAATTTCTTAATAGGAAGATCTGGGAATCCCTATTCCAACAGTAGCTCTGAAATGGAAAGAGAAATTAATTTAATTTAACAAAACATTCTACCTTGAGTTTCAGGGGTAACCCTTTGGAGCTGCACTCCTAATATAGTTCCTGAGCCCCTACTGGTGCACTAACCATTAAAAATCAGCGACAGATACAATTACCTCTTAAAGGCATTTGCTAAGATGATGCTGAAAAATATTCCCCCCATTAAGTCTGGGCACATTTATCCACAAATACAGAGTGTCCATGAGAAAAGTGGCCTTAAACTTACAGCACAGAGGCATCTGTATAGGAATTTATTGTGGCATGGTTGTGTGTGTGTGTGTGTGTGTGTGTGTGTGTGTGATCAACAAACAATAAGTACAATGGAATATTATATCCTTTATATCTTTCAGTTAATTGTGAAAGTAAAGATGGAGTCAATTGTTGACTCTCATTTCTCTTCTTATTCCTTTCTATTTCCTTCATAAAATAGGCCCTCAATTCATATATGGATGGCTGTAATAAAGACTTTGTGTAAATGGAAGAATAAGCATATATGGCCCCAAATTTTTAATGTTCATGTTCTCTCAAGAATCTTTTTTCAGATTCAAGAAGATCTGAGATTCTTCCCTCCCCCCATGCCTTTAGTGCCTTCCCCTTCCTCAGATACCTTGAAAATTACCCCCTTGATGTTTTCATGATTGCATAACCTTTAGCAAAAATCTCCTTTTTACATTTGGTCTAACTTGGCTGTTTTTCCAGTCTTGGTTCTGATTAGTGCCATTCCATTATATCTTGGATGTCAGAATTTTATCAGCAGCAATTTTTTTGGTATTTTATAAAATAATATTTTACTTTTCACAATTATATATAAAGATAAATTTTTACATTCTTTTTTCATTAAATTTTTTTCTGAACTTAAAACACCAAAAAAGTACCTATCTACATATATATAGCAGAACACAAAAAGAGGGTTATATAGGAAACCATAAATCTACTTTTCATAACACTTGGATTTATTTTTAAAGTATGTAATGCATTCCACTTAGTTTCAAACTGTCATGCTCGTCTGTACTTCCTTCCGACTTTGCTTCTGTTCTCCACTGTACAGTTTAAAAAATATAACTTAATTTAAAAAATTTTTTGAGGCCCAAATTTTCTCCCTCCCTCTTTTACACCTCCTGCCAGACAGTAAGCAATTTAATATAGGTTATACATGTACAATCATGCAAAGCATATTTCCATACTGGTCATGTTATGAAAGAAGACACAGACAAAAAGAAAAAAAAAACACAAAAAAGAACCTGAAAAAATAGTATGCTTCGATCTGCCTTCAGACTCCATCAGTTCTTCCTCTGGATATGGACAGCATTTTTCATCATGGGTTCTTTGAAACTGTCTTAGATCATTGTATTGCTTATAAGAGCTATGTCATTCACTATTGATCATAGTACAATACTGCTGTTACTGTGTATAATGTTCTTCTGGTTCTGCTCCCTTCACTTTGCATCAGTACAAATAAGTCCAGGTTTTTCTGAAATCAACCTGCTTGTCATTTCTCATAATACAATAATATTCCACAACAACCATATACCACATCTTGTTCAGCCAGTCCTCAATTGATGGGCATCCCCTCAGTTTCCAATTTTTGCCACACAAAAAGAGCGGCTATAAATATTTTTGTACAAATAGGTATTCCCTCTCCCCACCTTTTTATCTCTTTGGGATACAGATCTAGGAGTGGTATTATATCAGCAGCATTCATTACAATTTTTTTTCCTTAGTTATTGGTTTCCTTTCTTATCATACCTCCATTTACTTGTTTCTGTGAAAGCTTTTAAATTTTTTATGTAGTTCAAATTGCCTGCAATTTCTTTTACTATATTGTTTGTCCCTTGCTTTGTTAAGAATATTTTTGTAATGTAATATTTTACATTATTGCACATGTATAACCTATATCAGATTGCTTGCCATCTTGGGAAGGGGGGAGGAGAGAGAGAAAGGGAAAAAAATTTGGAATTTAAAATCTTACAAAAATGAATGTTGAAAATTGTCTTTACATGTCATTGGAAAAAATAAAACTATTTAAAAAAATAATTCTCCCTTTAGCCATAACTGTAAAAGATATTTTTCCATTCTTCTCTAATTTCAAAAAATGATCTAGAATTTTATATGTAGATTGTTTCCATTTAGAACTTATGGTGAAATAGAGCCTACATTACTGATCTAGTCCTGTTTTCTGCAAAATTGCTTTCTAGTTTTCTCAGCAGTTCTTATCAAATAGATAGTCCTTCCCAAATTAATTCATAATTCATTTATAAAAAATTGGGTTACTGATTTTGATTAATTTTGATTCTTGCTTGCATAGTCTTGTCCACTAAGCTATTTTAAAAACTTCCAATTAATTTTGATTATTATTGTTTTATTATATACTTTGAAGTCTATAAGTTTTTGCCCATCAATTCCTGCTTTTTTCTTTATTTACCTTTAGATTCTAGATCTTTTGTTCTTCCAGATTAATTTTCTTATTTGTCTTGTTCTATAAAGTAGTATCTTGGAAGCAATGTTATAGAACTAAATCTGTAAATTAATTCATATAGTATCATTTTTATTATATTGTTGTTGCCCTATCAGGAATAACGAATAGTCTTCCAATTTTTAAAGTCCTACTTTGAAAGTATATTACCAAATTGTATTTATATAATTCTTGAGTGTGTTTTGTTAGGTTGACACCCAGATGCTTGTGCATTTTGTAGTTTTGTTCACATAAAATTTCATTTTTAATAATTTTCTCTGTTATTGTCATATAGGAATGCTAATTATTATGGATTTCCTTGGTACCCTTTGATGTTTCTAAGGCTATTTATTTCAATTAGTTTCTTTGCTAATTCTCTTGGGTTTTCTAAGTAAACCCTCACGTCCTCTGCAAATAGAGATAATTTTGACACTTCTATTGATTATCAAAATGCTTAGTAGTTGCCTGATCAGATAATCAGTTAGTACCAAATTTCCTAATCTACACTAGTCTCATTCTTTATTCCATCCAAGAGAAGGCCTGGTCACTATAAGACTAGGCTATAGACTTGGCTGGGTGAAGTACTGCATGAATCTCTTTGCTTCCAAACATCCTGCCAGACACTCCTTCCTGACATGCCCTCCACAAGTTAGTAATGAAGACCTTTGCTGGTCCCAACTTGCTGACCCCCATGTGATCACTGTGACAATAATGACATCATAGTGAGTAAATGAAGATCCAGAACAAATTAAGGTATACGAATGTAGTGGAATAATAATATTCCAGATGTTCTTGGCAAAGATACTGGAGTGGATACTAGAAGGAAGGAAGGAGTTGGACTGAAAAAGGAAGACAGGGATCGAGGCACTGAACTAACGGAAAAAGAATGGAGAATGTTCTGGGAATCAGTAGTTAATAGCTACAAGAATATAGTTGTT